AAGAGGTGAATGATGCAAACCGATGAAGGTTATAGACACTGCCATCATTCAAACACTGTTCTTGGAAGAAATCAGCTAAATTAGTACTTATAGCACTTCTGGATTTGTGAAGAAATTTAATCTCCGGATTACTCTGGAAACACAGGTATAATTTGAAATTAGCTTTTCATTACTTTGCAAACTTAGTTTTTCATTAAGTTGAATACTTAAAAACTTGTACCGTAAGTTTACTTCTGTTTAAAAAGAATGAGTATGGGAGTTTTATGCCCTATTTTGGATCCAGTCCAAAACTTGGTCTCGATTATTAGTGTCTATCTGGTCTATAATGACAAGACATATTTTACTAAAAACCAAAAAAACACAATGTGAAACAACAAAAAACAAACAAAAAAACAATGTGAAATCTTAATGATATTAAAATATTTAAGAAGGGAGACTCTCACTTGAAATACACTGTGAATCTTGCCTACTGTTGCCTTTTAAAAAAACATTAGCACTTCAATAAATATATTCATTAAATAATAAAAATGTTCACAATAAAAATATATTATACCCATTCACCTGATAACAAACATACACATATTCTACTATAGTTTGAAGCAAATCAGAATTTAAACATTTTTCTTCCAGTTACCTCTTAAATGTATTAGTTTTATAGCAACATGGTCCCTTTTAAGTAAAAGTAAATAAAAATAGATAATTTACATAAATTATATTTCATTTCTTTTTTTTTGGGTGGAGTCTTGTAGTGTCACCCAGGCTGGAGTGCAGTGGCACCATCTCGGCTCACTGCAATCTCTGCCTCCTGGGTTCAAGCAATTCTCCTGCCTCAGCCTCCGGAGTAGCTGGGACTACAGGCCTGTGCCACCACGCCCAGCTAATTTTTTTGGTATTTTTCCGGGTTTCACCATGTTGGCTAGGATGGTCTCGATCTCCTGACCTCATGATCCACCCGCCTCGGCCTCCCAAGGTTCTGGGATTACAGGGGTGAGCCACCGTGCCTGGCATAAATTATATTTCTAAATTATTAGTATATTTTCATGAATATAGGTTTTTTAAATTTCCTTTTGTGTAATAGAAAATATAGTATTTCAAAATGAAAATAAAACACATAGCCCAAACCAAAACAAAAACATATGCAAAAACATTTTATTTATAATAGATCGACATTTTTGACATGAAAGGTAGCCACTTTCAATTTCTCAGGAATGCCTAGAACCCAACAGTTTTCAGAGAGACTACTTGGTTCACAATTATTTCACTGTAGGTAAATGAAATAATTTCAGAATGAACTTTTTAAATGGCTTTGCCTATGGCAAATCGTTTTATAAACTTGAATGTGTGGTAAGCTAGCTTTCCCAGGAAATGAATGTAATCCAACTACGTTCCAAATGTATTAAACCAGTTTATACAACAAATATGAGAATCACCTATGTGCATCGACTGTGCTCAAACAAGAATTCTCTTTATCAAAATATTCATTTTTCAAAAAGGCCTCACATTAACCCCTCAAACCAATCACCCCTTTCTATATCCAGCACTCTTTTCTACTTCAAGTTGCATGACTGTATAGATAACTGTCAAATTCCAGTGGAGCTGTACACTGACTTAAGACTCTATGTAATATACATCAAACACAGGAAGTCACTGACTTTAAGGGACAAGGTGAAACTAATCAGTAATAATTTAGCCAATGTCATTTTTAGTTTAGAGGGGAAAAAAAAGCAGCCCCCAAATGTCCTTAACTTTTCAGTACTTCTCTGTAACACACAGAATGAAAAGATACTCTCTAAATTTAAAATCATTAGAAAATATCTTAAATAAAATGTTTTACATAAATGTTAAATTTCAGATTCAAACTATATTTTCTTCTGTATCTCAATTTGGGAAACATCTCACAATTATAAGCTCTTCTCAGTTACATTTATTTTTGAGCATTTAAATCTACTACACACCAGTTTGTAAAATTCACCTTGGTTACTTCTCCCCATGCCAATGTGCTGTCTTTCCTCAGGTAAGTCCATTGTATGCATCTAAGTGCTGGGGAGGTTTAAATAGCACTTAAAGAATATTCATGAGAATTCTGAAATGAAGGTTTCATCTTTAGCTAATTACTGTAGGATTTGTAATTCAAATCATCACAGCATCCTAAAGAAATACTGTGTGAATAGAATGCACACAATTCCTACAGAACACACAAACTGAAGTCCAAAAGGCACAGAGTAATGCTGGTGGCTCTTTCTAGTCAGTTAAGAAACAATAAAAAGTCTGCATTATTCTTTCATAATTTAAATACTTAAGTAATCTCCACTTTATTTTATAACAATGACTTCAAATTTACATTATTTAAGTACCATTGTAATAGCTTAGTGTATAATACAGATATTTGCGAATATCCCATCCAAAAATTAAAAAAAAAATTCTTCACTATATATATATATTTATATAAAAATTATTCTGAAAGACAAGAACATAGACAAGGGACTTGGTACAGACCAACAACTCGATTTTCTATCACCACAGTTGTAACTCCAAAATCAACAAATATACAGCAGTAATCAAAAGCAGTGCAAATATCTTTGGAGGTTAGGATAAAATTATAATGCAAGAACATAAAACTGAGGAAATAAAAAAGGCAAGTACTTCAAGTACAAGGAACCAGTCTGCTTGAGGTCCACCTTAGTGTTTACTGGGGGCGTCCTTCCTGCTTCTACTTCTTTCTCTGAAACACATTGGCCAACATGGCACCTGATGTTGTCAACTGGCCCATTTTGTTCAAAAACTTGGTCTTTGTATCTTCACTCACTAAGCTTGCAGCAATTGACATTGAGCTAGGAAAGAAAATTTAAAATTCATGTAAAGCAATTAAAAAACCAAAATAACATCTTTTTTTTTTTCATTTCTTTAGTAGCATATCCTGAATGAATATACTCTGAATTGGCATCACAAAAGGGAAACTAATATTTTGGAAGGTAGTTTGTCTATTCCATACTGGGTTTGGGGCTTTCACGTTCATCATCTATAGTAAAGGAAGCATCTGTGTGGTGGTTAGGAAGAAGTCTGAGGCTGCACTGAATCTTGGCTCTGTTTACGAGCTATGTGATCTCAGGTAAATTATTTAATCTTATCTGTAAAACGAGGAGGATTCTATCTGCCACCCAGGGTTATTAGAATTATATTAATACAACTCTAAAGAGCTTAGTATAGTGCTAGGCACATAATAGCATGATGTAATTGTTAGTAGTTATTCTTTATCACCTCATTTAATTCTTACAGAAATCTTGGAAGATAAATATTATTAGTATTTTCACAAATGAGAAAATTAAATCACAGTGAGGTTTTTGTCCTGTGCTGATAATAATCCTACGGTATATTCCTTTTTTTGGGGGGACATTCCTTTTTTGGGGAATGTCCTGAATTGCCAGTTGCATTGATTTCAATCAGGTTCACATCCATTTCTTCTTTCTTTTTCACCAACCTGCTATGTCGGGATAAACACAATCTAAATGTCCACTAAAGATTGCTGATTTATCATAGTACTGAACAGAAACAGAATACTGATCAAGCACAATTTTTCAATGACCTGACAACTGTCCTACAATAGACTCAGGAATCCAGTTTATTGCCTTGTGGCTTTGGCCAAGATGTTTTAGATCTCTCTGACTCAGTTTCCTCATCTGTAAAACACAGCTTGCGATTTCTGTTGCAAAACATTCTGAGGATTTAAGATTACATGTCTGAACATGTCAAAGACAACATGTGGCAAGCAGTAGGTGCTCACCATGTCTACTCAGCAGTTGAATCTACTGCACGAGGTGTGTGCTGCCGAAGAGGACACCCAGGTCTATGCAGTCTATAAGGGTGTGCACTGAGAATTACTCAAGTTAAAAACCCAACCACAGCCCCCACCTTGAAAATCCTCACATTGCTTTTCTGACAGTACACCAATGGTTCTCTTTCCTGTTGCTTCTCTTTACACAAAATAATCTTCTCTAAGATTCAGTACTTGGCTCTTGTTTCTTCAACAGTAAAACTTAGTTTCAATGTTTCAAATTGAATCGCATCCCTTTTCCTGAGGGTCAGTCCCACATCACTATTATTTGCTAGATAAAGCCAACATCTCAAGCTTTTGTTCACAAACTAACTTTAGAAATTAAACTCCCCATTTTAATTCTTCCCCCGCTTTTTTTTTTTTTTTTTTTTGCCAGTGGTTCTGCCATTTTCCTCTGTTCCTAACAGTGAATTTAATAGCTCCTTCTACTTCTATTTCAAACCAGTCTCCAAGTCCTGTGACCTTATTCTTTGAAGCATTTCCTCTGTTTCTTTTTACTTCCACTGCTAATACTTCACAACTCAGTGATTCCAAGTCTTGCATCTTTAAATATCAGATTAACTTCTAAAAGTCACTTCTTGATATCACATCTTAGCTCAGACATCTTTAATGCTACGTACCACCTACAAGATAAAATGTGCTTTGCATTCAAGAAATGCAGCAATCTATTTCTTGTTTTTCCATACCACTGTCACTATCTCTTTGACCCGCTCAGTCAGCTTTGCCCAGTCTATTGTTCAATCACTCTCACATCTTTCTCTCTATCCATTGACTACCCATCTTTCAAAGCCCAGCTGAAGTCCTACGGTGCCTTTCCTTAACACTCTAGCTTTTCAGTGCTCTTCCTTTTCTTTAGAAAACTCATTGTAAATCAAAAGATAAGTATGATTTACATGTACATCTAGAAAAAGGGGATCTATGGGTCAGACCACAGTTGAGATATCAAGTTTTAATGATATTCTCAGAGGAGGCCAATGACGATGTTAAGGAGTCTGAAAACTGTAAGAGGTAAAAATGAAAGAAATGAAGAATATTTGGTCTGGAGAAGATTTAGGTGACTTAACTGATGCCTCCGTATGTCACATGTGAAAAAACTGGATATATATTGTATATCTGCAAAGGTATATATATCTACATAAGTCTACTGATATACATCACAGTCACCTGGAAAACTGTTTTGAAAATGCAGATGTTGGTCTCTTGCTGCAGCAACGCAAGTGGGAGCACCAGGAGCTCGGGCTTGGAGCGGGACCGTACGGATTGTTTTAAGAAAATGGCAGACAAACCAGACATGGGAGAAATTGCCAGCTTTGATAAGGCCAAACTGAAGAAAATGGAGACGCAGGAGAACACCCTGCCGACCAAAGAAACCACTGAGCAGGAGAAGCGGAGTGAAATTTCGTAAGATCCTGGAGGATTTCCTGCCCCTGTCATCTTCGAGACCCTGGTCCTGATGTGGAGGAAGAGCCACCTGCAAGATGGACACGAGCCACAAGCTGCACTGTGAACCTGGGCACTCTGTGCGGATGCCACCGGCCTGTGGGTCTCTGAAGGGACCCCCCCCAGTCGGACTGCCAAATTCTCCGGTTTGCCCCGGGATGTTATAGAAAATTATTTGTATGAATAATGAAAATAAAACACACCTTGTGGCAAAAAAAAAAAAAAAAAAAAAAAGAAAATGCAGATGCCTAGGCTTAATCCAGTACTTTTGATTCTTTCCATCTGAGGTAGAAGGCCCAGGTCTATATTACAAAGCTTTCCAGTAAGAAAAAAAAAATCATTGGATTACAGCAATTCCACTCCCACTCCAAGACAGAGTGTAAATTTTTATCAGTTTTATAAAGGGGTCTGTAACACTCCCCCACCCCTCTACCAGATAATAAAGACCTGTTTTCGAGGGTGTAGGCATTTTGGAAAGGGAGATTTTAATCCAAGAAAAGAGAAATTTTAAAAAAAGTTATAAAATGAAATGGGCTGCCTAATAAAGTAATGTGCATCCTTACTGCAAGTTTTCAAGCAAATCTCAGATCTTTCCATTGCCACTAATATCCCTGTCTTCTTTAAAACTATTTATGTCCTCTATTATTTAACTCTTTCCTTCTCTTTAAAATCTCCATTTGGGTCAGGCACGGCAGCTCACACCTGTAATCCCAGCACTTTGGGAAGTCCAGGTGGGTAGATCACTTGAAATCAGGAGTTTGAGACCAGCCTGGCAACATGGTGACACCGCCTCTCCAGTAAAAATACAAAAATTAGCTGGGTGTGATGGTACATGCCTGTAATCTCAGCCACTTGGGAGGCTGAGGCAGGAGAATTGCTTGAACCCGGGAGGTGGAGGTTGCAGTGAGCCAAGATGGCACCACTGCACTCCAGCCTGGGAGACAGAAAGAGACTCTGTCTCGAAGAAAACAAAAACAAAAACAAAACAACCCCCTCCAACAAAAACAAAATCTCCACCTGATTTCTAACGCCATTCTGGTTTGCCTTCTATTTCTCAGTGAAGTTTTTCCATATGCATCTTAAATTTTGGTCTCTAATTCCATGCCTGGTCACCTTCTCCCCATCAGAGCCGCCTTTTCAAGTGATGTCCTTTATCTACCCCTATTCCAACTGTAAGCCTTTAATTACCACCCATACGCTGCTAATGGTTCTTAAGTCTCAATGAACTGCCTATAGTGTTTCTCTACCTGTGCCTCACATTTTAAATATTCCTCTTCAGAATAGTTCTTTTCATAGTTCCATTTTGCTGTATTTTATCATCATCTGTTTAAATGTTCACATCAGAAATGTAGGAATCTTTTGATTCTGTTCTCTTTCACTCTTAATCTGCTGCCAAGTTAAATTGAGTTTACATATGAGATATGTATCTCAAATCCAGCTTCTCATATTCACTGCCATACACTGACATTATAACATGGTGGTTAAGATCATGGTCTCATGATCATACTGCCTGGGCTCTGGTTCCTCCACTTAGTAGCTAGGTGGCCTCTGAGCAACTTAACTACCTCCCTGTCATCTGTAAAATGAGAATAGTAAAAGTATCTACTTTGTAGGGTTAGTATGACAGTTATTAGCAAATATATGAAAAATGCTTAGAATGGTATCTGGTTCATAAGCATTATTTACTGTTACCTTCCCATCCAAGCCCACACTTCCTCTCATCATGTATTCCTATTACAGCTTTCTAATCTGTTCTACCCACTTCCCTATTCACTAGAGTCCGGTTCCTGAAGAGGGATTCTCAAGGTGTGGTTCCTAAACGTGCAGCATTAGCACCACCTGGGAACTTGTTATCAATACAAATTCTCAGACTCCACTCAGATCTTCTGAATCAAAAACTCTGGGGATGGTACACAGCTATTTTCAGGTGATACTAATGGACACTAACGCTTGACAACCAAAAGTTCCTAAGTGTTGGCTACAGGTAGCAGGCCAAATCCAGCCTGCTGTTTTTGTAAATATTTACTGAAACACAGCCATGTGCATTCATTTACATATTGTCAAAGACTGCTTTCCTGCTACAACAGCACAGTCCAGCTGAGTAGCTGTGACAGACATTGTATGGTCTCCCAAGTTTAAAATAATATTTACCATCTCTACAAAAAAGATTGCCAACACCTGGCCTATGAGATAAAGTCCAAATCTCCCAGTGTGGCACACAGAATTCTTTATTGTTTGATGCCCGCCTACCTTTATACACTTATCTCTACCATTCTCCCACATGTAGTCCATGCTGTAGCTTTACTTACAGTTCCCAAATACACTCATCGGTAACTTTTGTCATGTTGCACAGTGCTGATTTTTCTGCATGTCATCCTCTTTTTCTCTTCCTTTTTCCTCCCTAGTCAGCCATTCATATCTGAACACTCCTGTGTTTCTTTTTCCTTGGAACCACTGCAGGCATTGTTTTAGTGTTTATCTATATTTTTAGCTTCTTTTTCCCACTTTCAGCTGTGAATTCCCCGAGGGAAGGGGTTACAATTTGCTCAAGCTCATCTCTATGAACAGCCCATGGTAAGCACTCTGACTTTCACTTATTGCTGAATGAATATAAGAAGGGTACCAAAATAGTTGTGCATAAATTTTCTGCCTGCAGATCACTGCTTTTCAAACTTTTCTGACACAGATCCATAGTCAGAGACACATTTTAAGTGATGACTTATAGCACTTACACAGCTAACTGATGTTTCACAAGAAACATTCATCCTTACAACTTGGGATGTATTCTCTATTTGATTCTATTTCTTGGGACGAAATACTTATCATAACCAATTGAATTAATTAATGTACTAACATCATGATCTGCAGTTTGAAAAACACTGCTTTTAACCACAGGCTCTTTGAAGGTGAAACATTTGCATGCATCATCTTTGTATTCCCCATAGCAAAGGGGAGAGCTCTTCACAGACATAGATATCTTTATCTGCACCCACTATCGCTTTTCCTTCCATCTTAGAAGCAGTTCCTTTTACTGTTTAAGGCTTTCTTCTTGCACTTTTGATTTACAATAGACTTCTGAGGAAGGGTGGGGTCAAGGAAGGTTTCCCTGAAGAGGCAACATCTAAGCTCTGTCCTCAAGGATGAATAGAAACTAGCTAGGCAGAGTGAGAATACTCCTGGCAGACAGAATCATATGTGTAAAAACCTGAGGAGAGCAGAAGCTTGCCCTGAATCTGATTAAGTCTCTAGATCTAGACCCAGCTACTAAATATACAGGAAATATAGAAGAACATGTTAAAAGGCAGAAGAGAAATGCAATCAGTAAAATTCAGATGGTGGGAAACTCTATAGGACTCAGTTTCTTCAATAAGTAAATCATATGGAGAAAAAAGCAACAGAAGGGTAACATTCTGTCTATGGGTTAAAGGAGACCTAACATAGCAACCAATTGCAATGTATAGAACTCATTTGGATCCTGATTCAAAGAAACAAACTGTAAGGAAAGACAACCAACCAACCACTGACATTTGTGAAACAAGGAGAAATTTGAACAAAGGCCAGATAGTTGATGATATTAAGTTGTTATTATTATGTTGGTGTGTTAATGATATTGTGTTTATGTTATTTTTAAAATAATACTTATCTATGGAAGAGAGGGAGAAGTAGGTGGGGTATGGATGAAATTGAAGCTGGGCTATGGTTATATGTTCAGAAATTAATTATATTTTGTTTATCTTTTTGTTTGTTAGAAAATCTCTATAGAAAGCCACTAATAATATAGAAGATGTGAATGTCTATTGTTTGAACCCTCCATGGCTAAAATGGTAGGTATGTATGAAGATTGCTTCCATCCTAAGACGCTTTATAACGTAAGGGTTCTAACACATCAAAGACATATGTGTGTTGCACATGGGGAACAGGGAGGAGCACATGTGTGAGTGTGTGTGTGTGTTTCTAGACTGATAGGATGAAGCTCTTATTCCTGGTAGTCAGCCTTGAAGAAAATACTTTTGAGCTTTTTATATCTAACAGAGTCCATTTAAGATGCTCAAGGTTTATACACAGTCCATCTGTAAATAACTCCACTCCTAAGAGCCCAACATTATACTCTTTCACATCTATGCTTATGTTTTCATTTTACTGAATACTTGGATTCTAATTAGTTTGATTAGAAGCATGTGACTAGAACATTCCCAAGTTTATGATCCTTTATGCAGTATGTTGTTCATCTTACAACTGTGTCACAAGTCTCTTGACATTATTTTGAACAGTGAGTGAATAATCCAGCTACATATCAGAATTTTGTTGGAAGCTTTTAAATGTACAGATCCCTAGGCTGACTGAGAATATTGAGAGGAAGGCAAAGGACATGGGGTAGAGACCTGAATTTTAAATTCCCCAGATAATTATGATGAGATGGTTTATGGACCAGCATTTGAGAACCAATGACTTAAATCATTTTCTTGTCTTTCAAACAAATGACTATAACATAACACAAAATGATACATTATACTCATTGATAGCAAATTTAGATAGAGAAATTAAGGTTAACATGTAGCCTTAAAAAAAGAATTAATGTCTTACCCTTGAGGCTCTTGGACGGTCTTGTTTTCTACTTTTTGTTCACATTCTTTTATCATGGAACTTAAAATAACCTGATTAAAAAAATTTACTTTAGTGAAATACAGTTTACATAGTAAAATACTATGGTTTAATCTAATGTTTTAATTTAATTTTTAATATTCCCATAAGCTAATATGTTAATTAAAAATTTAGTTTTGGCAGTTACTTTGTTAAAGGAATTCATACTAGATTGCTAGATTAGGCACAGAAATAGCTTTAAAAAATCTCAATCATATAACAATAATTTAGTTTGATTTTCACTAGTCTTCTTTCTAAATGTTTTCTATTCTCCCTCAGCTTCCCCACCATCTAATGTTAAAAGTAAAATTTATATACATCTATATATTTAACATACACACATACTGTGGTCACATACTTTCCCAGCAAAAGCTGTTCTGTTCTATGCCCCTTTCCTTTCTCCAGGTTGCAAAAAGCAAGATCCCTTATTTTAATGTAATATAAGGGATATGAAATATAATGAAATATATTATACTGAAATATAATATAATGAAATATAAGGGATATGCTAGGTGGCTAAAAGTTAACACCATTCCTGCAGGGATACTGAGTAAGTGATAGAAAGGGTAGAGAGATCTAAACTGCTGCTCTAATATCT